TGGTATCTTCGGAGCCGGCCCGGGAGGACCAGGTCCTGCTGCAGGTGCGGCTGCACCGGCGGGAGCTCCGGTTGTGACAGGCGCTCAACTCGATCAGGCCCTTTTCGCAGGCCCAGCTGGTGCGATGGTGGCGGATCCTCTAGGCTTTGCCGCCGGAGGGGCCAATGCTTCTACTACTTCGAACATCGTGGAAGCCGATGGGACCAGCATCATTTTCTTGTCAACGGCCCAGATTGCCACGGTCCAGAACAGGAAGACAAGGCTCACTGCCGTCGGCTTGTTGGCCCACATCGACGCCAAGGCCTTCGGCTTTTCTGCCAGATACGAAATTCCGATGACGGACCTGGCCCCCATCGTCAGCCTGATGCGGACGTACCTCGAGACTCATCCTGAGAGTTATCCTGGTGGCACCCGCGCAGCCGCAATCAGAAGGGTTGGAATCTCGTCACCGAGTGACAAAATGGTGATGGCAAGGGTCTCTGGCAAATTGGATGTGCGAGAGAAGACATCCTTGGCGCTAGAGCTCGCTCAGACTCCGAACTCTCAGCTGCAGTCGCAGTTCAAGAACATGATCGTGGCGAAATATGTCCGCATCGTCGGCACGGACGCGATCTTGAACACAGTCCGCATCTCCGACAACGGTGACTTTGTGATCTGCGACTTGTCTGCTGTTGGGTTGGCAGCTGGCCATGGGATCCGCTACGCTGACGACAACCCGGGCGCGGCTGTGGGCGAAGTGTGCTACATGCAGGACTCCGGAGCTGAACTCGCAGCTGGAATCAGAGGACTCGTTGAGAAGCACCGCGAGCACATCGACTCCATGATCCGCGACGCTGACCCAGCATCTTTGCAGCCCAACAAGCGCTTGCGAGTCACCCACTTGCGACCTGAGCTGACAGACGTAGCCGAGAGCTGAATTCGAACGCGCAGCGAAGGGCCAGTCGAGGTTATCTACCGGAATAGTTTTGCCCCCTGTAGCTAAATCCTAATCGAATTCTCAATTCTAATTTTCTCGGACTATGCGGTTAATGTTCACTTTCCTGATGTTGTCTTCAAAGCCATTTCAACTTGCTCGCGAACTGGTCCCTGAATCAAGCCTGAAGCTTCGACTGCCATCTCCTTTGCTGTCACCCAGGACTTTTGCGTTGGCACTTAAATTAGGCGTTCTCAGGAATGCTAATGACTGACTGTATATTAATCCAAATATTTGGGTGCCATTGCAATTTTTGCCTGGGCTTGATGCCGACGAGTGGCTCACCTTGCCCAGTTAACTGACTATTGGTCTTTAACTGCATGCAGCACAGTCTTGCGGAAGGATTCGCATAGGCCTTCTTCATTTAGTACATTATAGGCGACTGCTAGTTTCGTTGCATCTTGGAAAGAGTTCAAAAGAAGCAGAAGACTATGTTTGAAGGCCTCATTCTACCCGATTTGCACGACAAATCTCCTGAGACAGAGAGTGCGCATGACTGACGTGCGGCTTCGACCGCGGATCGCTGCTTCGAGTGATCAAAAAAACAGAATAGTGCCGTGAGACGGGAGAGTTAGAGAACAGACTACAGGACGACATGCCGCACGTGACATACTTTATGAGCTTCGCTCGGTGGTGTGGATGGTGCATGTGTTCCTGATTGATGACTGTGATGCTAATGGTTATGTCGTTGCAGTCGTTCTCCGAGGTCAAATCATCTGGGAGTAGGGATCCCGCCTGATCACCCCGTCTGCCTCACCCCGATGGCCCTTACTTACTGGTTAGACACCACTGCCCTAACCCGCGCTTCCGTGCCCATGACCTTTGCTACCTGCCCGCCGCCGGTGACACTGGTGACTGGGCTGAATGCCACTGCTCTGTTGGACTTCTTTGAGGACCTGGATACAGATAGTGCGGGGATGCTAGCAAGGAACCTGCACCAAGGCCTTTTGAGATTGCAGGAAGAACAAGCGGAGGTATGCCGCATTGACCTGGTGGGAGAGTATGTGAGATATTTGATAAGGGCCTGCCTGGTTGTTGCAGCACAGTGCCCGGCGACTGACTTGGCATCCGATCACATGGGCACGATACGGGAGATCTCATCGGGATTACTGTGGGGGGTGAAACTTCGCATGTGGTATCTCCGAGCAGATCGGTTGCTGGGTAATACTGTGCGACGTGACTTGGTAAACCCCATGATGCCGTAGTCAGTGCCTGGGGCCACAGGATGCCCCGCATGAGGCACACTGGTGCCCTCTGACAGTCTACTGGCTCTGTGTGGCGCGCGGGATGATGGTGTGTACGGGCTCAGGTCCCAAGGTGCATTGGACTGTGAACATGCTGAGGATCGACCTTTACTGCGTGAAGACTGCGTGCAATGCTTTACATATTTGCTGCATGGGAATTCTGCCTTCTGCATGCGGGATCGCCTCTGAAGATGAACAGATATTCGTGTTGCATGGGAATTTACAGATGCCTGTTTGCATGGGAATTTGCAGCAGCCTGTCTGCTGGTGCCTGAATTTGTGACTGCATGGATGCATATTTGTCTTCTTGGCGAAGGTCCTTGTTGGTCTGAAGTTGTTGGTACTTGGCAATGGCATCAAAGACTGTTGCATGCTGCATGAGAGACCGAGCCAATCAGGGCGGGTGTGCGCTTTCCGCTTGTAAGCACGTGTATGTCTTCTGCTGGTGCATGAGCATGAGATGTGGAGTTCGGTGAAGGGCGGCGAGTGACGTGGAGACGGTGAAGGAAGGTGAAAGTATGATAGTTGCAAAGCCCTTTTGAAACAGGAATGTCTCAAGGTAGACACTCAACCTCGCAACTGCCCGAACACATGTTAGTGCATCCTTTGTCATTTGTTCATTGGTTTCGATCTACTTAGCCTGTGTTGATGACTGGTGTTTGGGCGTTGCGTGTTCTCAGTTGTGATTCGGTGGACTATGTGGAGCCTTGCCTGCCTTGTGCGAGTGTGAGCGTCGAAAACCTTAGAGTAACCTAAACCATAACCCCAAAACGCTTCTTAGAGTGACCCTATAGTAACTCTAAACCATAACACCAAAACGCCCCGTCAATTGAACCTAAAGTAACCCTGAATAAACCACAGCCCCAAAACGCCCCTGAGAGCAACCCTATAGCAACCCTAAACCATAACCCCGAATGTGAGCGGCGAAACCATAACTCCAAAACGCCCAGAGTGACCCTATGGTAATCCGAAACCGTAACCCCAGAACGCCCCTTAGAGTGACCTTGAAGTAGCCCTAAACCATAACCCCGAAACGCCCCTTAGAGTGACTCTACAGTACCCCCAAGCCATAAGCCCGAAACGCCCCTTAGAGTGACTCTGTACTAACCCTAAACTGTAAACACCAAAACGCCCCCTTAGAGTGACCTAGAGTAAACCATACGCCCGAAACGCCCCTTAGAGTGAGCTTATAGTAACCCCAAACCATAACCCAAAATCCCTTTCACTGTTGGTCCGGGACTTCTCAGGCTGCAGCTCTCGAAGCTGCGGCCCAGGTGGCCTCCGCAGCGGTCCCTTGGAGCTGTGACCCCTTATTAAAGTACCATAGAGGCCTTAAAAGGGTCTATAAGGGCTACTATAAGGGCTATTATAAGGATTTGGTATAGGGCCTCAATAAATACCTAAACTATTTTGGGGGTTCCTGATCATATCATATCTATAGTATAATGGGCCCCAAAACCGTATTCCAATCATAAGGCACCTAGATTACGTTGGCAGACTATAGTTACTTGTTATTTTTTGTCGTCGGGGTACGTAGGAGGAGGAGGAGATGATAGTCGCCGTTGAGCGTGAGAATAGCTAGCAACAGTAGGTTTGCTGTTGCTGCTGTTGTTGTTGTTGCTGCTGTTGCTGTTGCTGTTGTTGCTGCTGTTGGTGTTGTTGTTGTTGTTGTTGCTGTTGCTGTTGCTGTTGCTGTTGTTGTTGTTGTTGTTCTGCATGTCGAAACAGATTTCGCAAACGTGCTGGGTAGCTGCTTATGCGTCACAGCACAGATCGGACGGAGCTTCTTCCTTCACGCTATGCTGTCATGCAGATCGTAGTACTGCCGTCATTACATTGCACAGGCCTATCATGACGAGGGTGAAGCCTGAAGGTATCCCGCTTCTTGAATGAAGGGGGGAGCACGCGATCCCTGATGGGCTCTTCCAGAATTTGCTATCATACTAATGAAGCAAAGTACACCCTAAGCTGGCCTTAAGGTTGCAGCGGCAGCTGCAACCACGTGGGGGGACCTGTTGCCCTCGCCCACGACTCAAAGGAGATGACAGAGCCCCTTTTGGGCTCGCCGGTTGGCTTGTGTGAGTTCGTGTTTCAAACTTGGAGCTTTGTGTTCCTGTTCTGTGTAGTGGTGATCTTGATCAGCCCTGAAACGTTGTGACAGGACATAGGACTTGGACTTGGTGTTTACTGTGGGGAATCCGTGAAAACCCACGAAGTGTGGCCCAGGGCGCACACCGTCGAGCCCTTGACAGCTCAGGACGCTTGGGTGTATGGTTTGGGGTGACTTCCGTGGTTTTGACATCAACTCGCATTATGTTAAACGAGATGTTGTGGTGCTTCCTGAGATGGTTGAAGTTTCTTGGCTCGCTAGCGATTGGAATCTCAGCCATTAGACCCTGAGCTGCAAAACCTTCTTTCTAACACCTCCGCATGGACATTGGATCGAATCGAAGCTGTCTCTATCTGTCTGTTCTGTTTACACGTTGTCGACATACCTCAAGGAACCACAGTCGGATCTGCCCTGTCGGGTCAACTCGCGTTGGCGAGTGGGACCGTAAGGAGCCACCGCACAAGCTGGACGAGGTCCTGGATGAGTCCAGCGCTCTGAGCCATGCGTCTTCTTGTCTTCCTTGGATTGTTTGGCCCTGCTCTCGTCTCGAAACGTCGTCCATAGTGAGCTTGCTGTTCGCTGCCCAGTATCTGCAAAGAAACACCCACGAATCTGACTGTGCAGATTCGGGTCTCAGGCGACAGATTTGCTAGCTGTACACGCCTGCTGCAGCCATGGATGAGACTTCGCAGGACGGACGCGACGGAGCCTCCAGCATAGAAAGTGTTCCTGAAGCAAAAGATGCAAACACCGCCTCCTTTTGGGAGCTATATGCAAGGCTCGGCGAACGATACAAAGCAGATATGGCGGCTTTGGGATCTGCAGATGCTCCGGAGCCCGCATCTCGCTCCGCTACTAGTCCCGGCGCACACAGGCTTCTACAGGGAACCAGTAGCAGCATGATCTTCACTGTGCAAGAGGACGGTGAGGGAAGTACTAGTACACCACGCAAAAAGAACAATGTGACACCGCCAGAAGATGCCCTTGACTTCAAGCTTCGCACATCTTGGACGGATGCTGGAGATGGGAGTGGGAGCCCACGCATGCTCGGGAAGCGAAGGGTGGCCAGCTTGACAAGCGTGTGCTCTCAGCAGGAGGACATGGGCATGGACTCCATTGACTTGCTGGAAACTGGAAGTCGGGTCGCCGCGAAGCCTCGTTCGCTGGTTCTTGCACCGCATCAACGCCCCTTGGTCACATTTGTAGCAACATTTTGAGATGGCCTTGTAGCCTAAAGGCCAAGAAGCTTGGGCTTGGACTACGCTAGACCGCTAGACTTGCAGCATCCGTTCCCAACCGAGGTATCCGATTGATATGGAATTTGCTGTCGGCGACCTTTATACTTTGTGATCTGATTCTGAGCCCCCTCCATGCCTTCGAAGACATATGGCCTCGGAGTGAGATCAGCATTTTCAGCGTGTCCGAGTTGAGCGTTCACGTCTTCTGGAATCTCGACATGCTCGTGACCACGCGGACAGCAGTTTTCTCGCATGGGCATCTGGATTTCAGACAGTCCGTCATCCTCAAAAAGTACCTGATGGGGTGGTTTGCTTTCGATGCGATCCTTGGCTCAGTTCTTGTCTACCGCATGCATGACGCCAGTCCGCTAGTCATTCCCTCTCGTGTGCACCACCCTGCAGAGTGCAAAAGTGCATACGTCCAGCGCCAGATCATTTCATGTCGTGCGGTGTTGCAAGGACATACGTGGTGGTTGGATGGGCCGCAATAACTCTGAACTTACCGGCCCTTCGCCAGATACAGGTGGTACTACGTTGCCTGCGGCTTTTCCGGCTGAGCAACACCGTCTCCGCACTGTCAGGCCTACTAGCACTGCCGCGGGTACCATGAGAATGCTGCTACTGGCACTTGTACTCGTGATGCTAGAGCAGTAGTAGTAGTAGTAGTAGTAGTAGTAGCAGCAGCAGCAGCAGCAGCAGTAGTTGTAGTAGTCGTGGTAGTCGTCGCGGTAGTACTGTAGTAGTAGCAGTGGAGTAGTAGGAGTAGTAGATAGTAGCAGTAGTAGAAGCAGAAGCAGAAGGAGAAAGATAAATGAAGCTGCAGTAGAAACCGTGGTAGTGGTACTGGTGGGGGTAGTCGTAGTCGCAGTTGTAGTGGTCTTGCTAGTAGTAGTAGTAGTAGTAGCAGTAGCAGTAGTAGAAGTAGAAGTAGTAGTAGTAGTAGTAGTAGTAGTAGTAGTAGTGGTAGTGGTAGTGGTAGTGGTAGTGGTAGTGGTAGTGGTAGTGGTAGTGGTAGTGGTAGTGGTAGTGGTAGTGGTAGTGGTAGTGGTAGTGGTAGTGGTAGTGGTAGTGGTATGGTAGTGGTAGTGGTAGTGGTAGTGGTAGTAGTAGTAGTGGTAGTAGTGGTAGTAGTGGGTAGGTTAGTAGTAGTAGTAGTAGTAGTAGTAGTAGGAGTAGTAGTGTAGTAGTAGTAGTAGTAGTAGTAGTAGTAGTAGTAGTGTAGTAGTAGTGGTAGTAGTAGTAGTAGTAGTAGTGGTAGTAGTACCAGTAGTAGTAGTAGCAGTAGAAGTAGGGGTAGTGGTAGTGGTAGCAGTGGTAGAAGAGAGAGGTAGCAGATAGCAAAGCGGGTAGCACGTAGCAGGGAGCAGGCAGAAGGCAGCAGGCAGCAGGTAGCAGCAGGTACTTGGAGCAGGTAAGAGCTAGCAGGTAGTAGGTAGTAGTACGCAGGTAGCAGCAGTAGGAGCAGGAGCAGGAGCAGGAGCAGGAGCAGGAGTAGGAGCAGGAGCAGGAGGAGGACGAGGAGGAGCAGGAGGAGCAGGAGGAGCAGGAGGAGCAGGAGGAGCAGGAGGAGCAGGAGGAGCAGGAGGAGCAGGAGGAGCAGGAGTAGGAGTAAGAGTAGTAGTCGTCGTCGTAACGTACTTGTAAAGTAGTAGTAGGTGTTGTAGCAGCAGCAGCAGCAGCAGGAGGAGGAGGAGGAGGAGTAGTAGTAGTAGTAGTCGTCAAATCGTAGTGGAAGAAATAGTAGAAGCAGTAGTGTTTGAGTCAGTATCGTGCAGTAGTACGGGCGATTGCCACGACATCTTTAATTACGACTTCATCTGCGAGGGATCACCTGTAGACGTTTCTTCTAAGCCTGATTGCATTGTACCAGGACATGTGATGTCAGACCTGCTCGTCGCAAAGCTGAACATTCTCAGTGTCTCTGTTCAAATCATGTGACTGGGCTTTACAATGAGTTGGCTTATCCTTATAAGACTGAAGTACCCTGCGTCGTACGAGTTGTGTGAGCGTAGTTACCCTGCCTCGTAGGTTCGTCTCCGCCAGGCAGGAGGCAAAAACATTGCAACTCGCGGCGTTCAGAATGGCTGTCGCTTATAGAATTCAATGCACTGCTCGTGAAAGCCAGCATGCCGCGAGTTATGCGAAACGTCGAGCCCGTAGCAGGAGCTGACCAAGAGTAGCAATAGCATTGCGACCTCAACTAGCCGCCACCACGCGCCGGCACCACTGCCTGAGTGTCACCACCAAGCCACACCCCAACACCACTCCACCACCGTCGCTATCACCGGCGCCGCCACCACTGCCGCCGCCACCGCCGCAGTCGCTGGTGCCGCCACCACCACCACCGCCACTGCCACCACCACTGCCACTACCATCGCCACCACGACCACCACGACAATCGCCACCGCCACAACCAGCTGCACCATTGTTGGTAGTCCTACTGCTGCCGTCGGGAAAAGGTAAGGTTGTCGCACACAGCATAAAGCGATCATAGCTGAGTTCTGTTTAATGAGATGCTCAGGCTCATACAGCATTGCATGGCCTGTTCCTGGTACTACGTCGGCGCCGCCGATGTGGCGGACGGATGGGTCGCCAGAGCCGGTGCGCATGACAGGTCGTTCGCACACAGGTACACCACATCTCTCTATTGGATGTTCTGCTGTTTTGGCTTTGGCGTCACCGAAACGGATCCACAAACCGACTTGGAGATTCTTTTTGGCATTATGGCTGCAGCTGTGGCACTTCTCATCTTTGCGGTGCTCTTGGGTACCATCACAAGCAACAGCGCAAAGCTGAGTAAGGTTGCGGACGAGCACCGAGAGCACTTCAGACAGCTAAGACGTTTCCTGGCACATGCCGGAGTGGACGCTAGCCTTCGGCTACGCATCACCCTCTTCTTGGAGCGTGCGTATGCTATGAATAAAGAAGGTCGTCCCGAGTCCGAGGTGCCTCTGCTGCAGCTTCTTTCGAAACCCTTGAAGCGTGAATTGCAGTTCGCTAGATACGAGACTCAGCTTCGAGAAGTTGGGTTCTCGAAATATCTGCTATCCCTCAGACTCAACGGTCGTGAACCTGACATGCTGGTGCTGGAGTACCTGGCCACCCGCGCAATTTCTCAGGCCAGCTTTCCGGCAGGTGAGGCGGTCTTTGAATCGGGGGCGGTTGCGCGTGCAGGCTATTTCGTTGTCGTCGGAGACGTAAACTACAAAGCCAACCTGAGTCGTTCAAGGGCTCCCCATGGCCGGTGGATCAGTGAGATGACTTACTGGACGCCTTGGTGCCATTGTGGTGATCTCGTTACAAAGACCGAGTCCAATCTTCTAAGCCTGCTCGAGTCGGAGTTCTCCGGGTGCATAGAGCGCTTTTGGGACATATACTCCTGCGCACGGGTGTACGCCAAACAGTATGTGAGTTCCATGAACGAGCAGGGGACTGTTACAGACATGTGGCAGTACCGAAGCGCTTCGAAGGGCAGCTCCAGCGGCACAGTTGTTGCCAAGCCCACGGCCTTTGCACGGATGATCAGCAACTTCGTGTCCAGCGCGGTGCATGGTGAAGACAGGATCGTGCCAGTCGACCTGCAGTAGCTGACTTGCATGTGGCAAGAAGGTATACAATGACGCAAGCTATGATGAAGTGTAATCAGCTAGCAGGGGATGCACGGGAGCCCCAAACACCGAGATTTCCACCTCCTTCAGAGAGCGATTGCCATGAAGTAGTTTCACCAAGTTTCACGGCAAAAAGGGGAGTCAACAGACTCCTTCGACCTCACGCCTCAAGATTCCTAAATGGAATGGCAGCAGCACGGCGCTCAAGGCATGGACCATTCCAGGGTAAATGGTTAAATTGCAGAAAAGACGTGCCCCGCAAACTCACAGCAGTTGATGATTATGTGTACCGTATGGACCCTAACCCAACCCAAAACTGTGGATCGGAATGTGCCTGCGTGCTAGCTGCCTGCGAAGCCTCAGGCTCCGAGAGTTGAGAATTCAGACCCGGTGTTGATGTTGCCTCTGCAACCGATGCCCCTAGGATATGAGAGAGAGAAGTCAATTACAGACGACGTGGCGGATCTCTTTTTCCGATGGGAAAAAGCCGCGTTTTCCCCGGCAAGACTGTTATATAAGTCGCCGAAATGTCACTTTTTCTTCCCAGGTTTAACTTGAGGACGGCTGGGCAATTTTTTCGGCTTATTCTCCACGTGGGTCATACGAAGATGACATCTGCTTTCCCAAGCCGTCCTAACAGATTTAGGAGGGCAGCGGCCTGAAATCGCTGGATCGCCGCTGTGTCGACATTTTTAATGTTCAGGAGTGCAATCTGAGCAGCACGTCGTTTCTTCAACACCTACCGTCCAAAGGCCAACGCGATCACAGGTCTCGGTCCTCACAGCACCACCTGCTCCGGAAAGGAGGAGCTGGTGTGATTAGTCAGCA